TACATATAAATAAATTGTGTAATGCAAAATATACAGAGAGCTGAAATCAATGGCCTCTGATGTAAACAAGAAATAACTGAAATTTAAAAAAGAGGAAGTTTTCAAAGGGGGGGGGACCCGTCAAACTGCAGAAATGTGGAGTATTTTTACCCAATATTTCAAGGGGGGTCAGAATGTGTAACGAGCACGTGTATCTCTTTATAGTTCGAGTGACATTACCAAGGTTACAAGCAAATACTAATGTCGCGTGATCATTGTATCGAGCTAATTCTCATAATTTCTACATTTGTTTATTTATTTGTGTGTAGCGTTCAATGCATTCTGCAAAACTATATTTGGAATTTGTTTTGTCTTTCAAATGCTTCAGGAACTTTAGTGACAATCGTGACATTCTGTAAGATCGATTTTTATGTGGGTCTTTGAAATCTTACCGACGTATGATACATTTGTAGCAATAAATTATTACAGCTCGTATATAGTATCAAAGCTAATTAGTGACTCGAGAATTATGAGAAGGTAAACGCACATGAAGCAAAAATTACGTGCAAAACGTCAGCACGTAAGTCACAACATTAATTTGTTGGCGTTTTCCATGAAAATGTTTTTATTTTTTTTACCAATCAAACTTTTCGCGTTAGCAAGGCAGGCTTTAAAAATGTAATTTCATCTGTTTTAATCATAAAAGTTCTAATATGTGTGTAACACTGTGTAATTTTCTTCTACAAATGAATGTGTACTGCTAGCAAATGTGAGTAGATATTACATTTTAACATAAGCTAAAGCAATCTCCTAAATGAGCACACAAACACACAGATTTGTACAGAAAGTTTCCTTAATTCAAAGATTTCGGTTAATTTGGGGGTGTCGTAATTTTTTTATTATTATTTACGAAAAACGCTGCTCTTTTTCTAAAAATGGAAAACTTAATATTGTGTTTATTTATATTTAAATTAAACATGTTTGAATAACACATACTATTGCAACTTCTTTTGTCACAGCTGCTCCACCTGGTGGTAACTTAAAGGTGTTCGAACTTCTTGAATCTTGGCTACGAGAGTAAAGAACGTTACCTAAAAGAGGTTAATACAAGAAGTTAACGATGTCTCACTACAAAGATGTAAGATTAACATACTGATTCGCGAAAATACTAGAATTCATAATAGTTCATTACCTGTTTTGAGGGATAAAAATGACGTTTTAAAATAATATTCACAGTCTATTTATATACTCTCTGAAATATTATCCACAAGAAACAAGTAACTGAATTCTGATCAACTAATTAAAATATCACAGTTTTTTTATATCATATATTGAACTAATAAAATGTTTAAAATTTGAGCTGGTTACAAACTTGTATACAAGTAACAATAACAATATTTTCAGTTTATCCTCAGAAAAGTAACATCTACGGAAGAAAAACTTTTCATGGTGTTCAAATAGAGAGGTAGACAGATAGGTAGCCTATCAGCCTATCTAACCATACCTCTATCCTTTCCTTCACTTCGCATGACAGCTGCAGATTTGGAGTATATTTTCCTGTCCACGAAGTCCTGAGAAAATGATGGAACGTCATTCTGAGCGCCTTGTTTTGCCATGGTAATGAACGTTTTTCTTTAATACTCTTCGCAGTCCCAAGCTTCTTCTCTATTTTTATGCTAGCTATATAAACACAAACAAAAAATTATACAAAATGAAAAAATACGAAAATACACGGGCATATATAAGTCACTGTTCTGTGCTCACCGTGAAACAACAAAGGTAATTTTCAGTACCAGTTCAGATAATTTCTTTTAATGCTGATTCGTCATTGAATGTGTGACCCTACTTTTTTTTTCTGCGATTAACAACTGTCTGTTGCAGGTTTAATCACTTTCGTATATTGGGTCCATGCATTGAAAGCATTGTCATATTACAGTAGAGCATAGAACTCCCTATAATCTACAGAGTTTCTTGCCGCTTGTTCGCGTGACTTTTATTTATGTGAAGCGGGAAAATGTATGTTTGCCTGTTGAACAGAAGTTTGTAGAGTGTGTATATATATATATGTATGTAGTTATATCTCTACGTGTATTTTTATCTATTCGTATTTTGTAGTTTCACAAACTCAAGTGGCTGAGTTATTGTGAGTATATATAAGCTAGTAGGTTCATTTCGTCATAGTAAAGTATATGTGACGCCTTAATAATCATCTGAAAACATTGTGTTTATTTGTGTCATTTCATCTGAGACGGCCCGGCATGGCCAGGTGGTTAAGGCACTCGACTCGCAATCTGAGGGTCGCGGGTTCGAATCCCTGTCACACCAAACATGCTCGCCCTTTCAGCCGTGGGGGCGTTATAATGTGACGGTCAATCCCACTATTCGTTGGTGAAAGAGTAACCCAAGAGTTGACGGTGGTGGTGATGACTAACTTCCTTCCCTCTAATCTTTTACTGTTAAATTAGGGACTGCTAGTGCAGATAGCCCTCGTGTAGCTTTGCGCGAAATCCGTAACAAAAAAAAAACTTATTAAAAGCTACATTTTCATTTTTATTATCACCATGGCAGCTTACTATGAGTTTTACTGTAAAAAAAATTTAAATTTTAAAAAAGATTTTCAGAAAACAGCGTTGTTCCGGACATAAGAGGTCTTTTCATGTTATGAAACCAATAGAATAAGAAGCCTTCATTTATATTCACTTTAAGCATACGAGATACCTAATAATAATGAAATGCATAAAATAAAATTAGTCATTATCGACCAATTGAAATGACAGTGGACATTATATTTTCCTGAAGAAGCTAGCCTAAGCCTAACATTCAATTTCGAAGACAAACTCATTGGAACACGTTGCTAAGTGTTAATTAACAGCTCCCCGTAAATAAGTTTAACATTTAACTCGTTTCTTTAAAAAAAATCTTCAAGGATAACTAAGAAAAATTATTCATGAGATATTCAGTATTTCACAGATCTAATTTCATGTATATAATATTCACATATTGGGCGCTCTTTGATTTTGGAAATATTTAACATGTGATGGGATCTAAGTTAAGAAAAAACGTTTAGTATGCTTTTCACTAAGAATTTAAGAAATATGTAGATAGCAGATATTTTAAAATGGTAGGATATGCCGTAACTACGGCCCCAGAGCGCGGATTCACAGTCAGGGTACGTTAACCTTTGGGTCACGCCCCGTCCAGAGAAGTATCTGAAGCGTAATGTGTGATAAATGAATATCCTAAAGACAACTATGTTTTGATAATTTGTTCAAATCTTACAAGTTAGCTTTTAACTTCAAATAAGTTGCAGAAAATGGGATACTATTGGTCCTATTAATTATAAATATTTATCTTCGTATTATGAAAATCTGTCACAGTACTATGGAAACAATCTTAAAAGCTTGGAAAGTTTGTCACTTATATGACAAACACCATTATCAGAAAGAAAGAAAAAAAACATTCTTGAAAATAAATTTGAAACTTTATAGTAACACGATGACTTCCCGAACTTTGATATCTGGTTTGGTTAAAGCGTTATTTTCCTACTTGTTCAACTTTAGATAAAGAATGGTTATTTCTACAAAGTTTGATTGGTTAAAAAAGAACGCTCAGTAATATAATAGTTACCGTTCTAGATTTCTACAAAGTTTGATTGGTTAAAAAAGAACGCTCAGTAATATAATAGTTACCGTTCTATATTTCTACAAAGTTTAACTGGTTAAAAAAGAACGTTCAGTAATATAATAGTTACCGTTCTAGATTTCTACAAAGTTTGATTGGTTAAAAAAGAACGTTCAGTAATATAATAGTTACCTTTCTAGATTTCTACAAAGTTTGATTGCTTAAAAAAAGAACGCTCAGTAATACAATAGTTACCGTTCTAGACTTCTACAAAGTTTGATTGGTTAAAAAAGAACGCTCAGTAATATAATAGTTACCGTTCTAGTAAAAATAAATAAAACAAAATTATAAATATCACATGGTCTACAAGTGATTATTGTAAAAAAAAACATATTCCAAAAAAGTCATAAATTAATTGTTCGAGCAATTCCTTCAACTTCAACAAACTCTGTCGCATTGTTCCGTTGGTTGCTAAAGAGAATGTGAGGACTTTTTAATTCCTTGAGCAATGTTTACTTTGTTGTGATTTGTTTCTCACTGAGTGAACAGAGTCATGTAAAGCCAATAACCTAGGATATCATTTTCTGCGTAAATGTGGGGTTATTACAGTTCGTGAAATCCTTGAGCAATGTTTAAAGTGTTTCTCACTGAGTGAACAGAGTCATGTATAGCCAATAACATAAGATATCATTTTCTGCGTAAATGTGAAGTTATTACAATTCGTAAAATCCTTGAGCAATGTTTACTTTGTTGTGAAGTGTTTCCCAAAGTGAACAGAGTCATGTATAGCCAATAACCTAAGATATTTTTTGGGTAAATGTGAGGTTATTACAGTTCGTGAAATCAAGACGAGTAATATTTACTTTCTTGTGAAGTGTTTCTCACTGAATGAACAGAGTCATGTATAGCCAATAACCTAAGGTATCATTTTCTGCGTAAATGTTATTACAGTTCGTGAAATCGAGACGAGCAAAGTAGATAAACACTCTTAGTGTGAAAAAGCGGTATATTACTTTATATCTAAAACTTTATTTTCGTAATAAAACATTTATTTTAATCTACTTTTATATCCGCAAAACTTTAAGAGCCAGATAAAGGTTCACTTATATCATGAGTTAACGAGTATTTTGTATAAACTTCATGTATCACACACTTCAAAATGTGTATTTTTTCACCGTTTTAATGTCATTAGAAAAAAATTATACATTCATTATTTTCTTGGTTCATATATAAAAAGAAGGAAACAAGAAAAGAGAGCTCTAAAAATTTTGTTTATTAAGCGTCTATTCTTAACTGATCAGCGGGATTAACAGTCACAGGTTTTTTCTCACGATAGCTAAAAGAGAGGAGCGTGTTCAGTGGCATTTCATCGCTTTAACCTTTGACCTTTCGATCCTCAACCCGGTAAGCTGATCACTAGGCCACGCCCAACCCTGTAATATTATAAAACTAAGTTTTAGAGTTCAAATATGTATTGTTGAAAATAGGCTTACTATCTAAAAAATGTTGGAAATTAAATAACAAATTGCAGTAATCATTTTTCTGTAAAACAACAAATGGGTGATTTGATTTTGTTTTTATTTATGTCGCCCATCAAATTATATTCGTTTCATTCAGTTAGTATGATAGTATTCGGAAACGTATTATGTACTGGTAACAAAATATATCATCTAGAGATATAAAACTATTTATATTGTAACCTTGACCTTTTTCTTCATTAAATCGATTTTGATTAATGGAAACGCTCTAAACTTTCTCACATTAAGTCAGAGGGGAATAAGTAGGTGTTGTAGCATATAATATTTGTCATGTGGTACTGGGTGGGAGATACGAAAAAACAATCGTTATAAATGTACCGTTTTACCTCAAGTGATTAAAGTTAACGTTATAAGTTAGTGTTTTTTTTGTAGTTTGGTTTGTTTTGAATTTTACGCAAAGCTGCACGAGGGCTATCTGCGCTAACCATCCTTAATTTAGCAGTGAAAGACTAGAGGGAAGGCAGCTAGTCATCACCACCCACCATAAACCCTTGGGCTACTCTTTTACCAACGAATAGTGGGATTGACTGTCACATTATAACGTCCACCAAGGTTGAAAGGGCGAGCATGTTTGGGGGAACGGGGATTCGAACCCGCGACCTTCAGATTGCGATTCGAGCTCCCTAGCCACCTGGCCATGCCGGACCCTTTTTTGTAGTTAAGCACAAAACCACACAAAGGCTATCTGTGCTCTGCCCACCACGGGAATCGAAACCCGGTTTCTAGCGTTGTATTTAACGTTATAAGTGAAAAACAAAATATATATCTTCTCGTTTCTCTTACTTTGCCTTTCGTTAGTTTCAAAATTACTTTTAGTTTTCTCTCTCTTTCTTAAATCTCTCTTTCTGTGACTAAGTGTTAAGTTTGAAGGGGCTCAAAACGCTAAAATATGACGTTCGCTCCAAGCGGAGATAGGCTATTGTGTAGCTTTGCACATAAACAGAACAGAGAAAGTCGTTCTTTAAATCAACGTTTTTATTCAATCTTTTTTTTTTACTTATAGTCGTTGGATTTTTATAATATTTGAAAAAGCAACTGTTTATCAATGGACATGATTCAGATCATGTATGAATTGTAATAAAGAAAATTTGCAGTAAATTTCAAGATAACTTTATTATAATTAATGAAGTATATCGAGCATAAACCCTGATTTCAACGAAAATGTTTTTCGGCAGTCTCACTTTCAACTTACAATATCCTGAAACAGTCTTTATTCACCTACATTTAAAATATTCTGTACGTTGATTAAAATACATTAAACAAATCATTCTCTTGAATGTTATAATAATATAACTAATAAAGTGGAAATTAATCAAAATTGATGTAAGTGTAAATTTAGTTAACAAGTTTTTCAGTAATAAACGTTCCAAAATTATTTCAAGACTGTTCAACTTAAGTGGTGATTACTAACCTTGAGCTATTGACCAGAGAGAGAGAGGAAAGCCAATCAGCAGCAC